GGTGAAGGGTCTGGAGAACAAGTCCTGTGAGAAGCGGCTGAGGGGACTGGGGTTGTCCAGCCTGGAGAAGAGGAGGTTGAGGGGAGACCTTGTCGGAAATGGCCTCAGGTTGCACCAAGGGAGGTTTAGATGGGACATTAGGAGAAGTTTCTTCACGTAAAGGGGTGTCAACCCTGGAACAGGCTGTCCAGGGAAGTGGTGGAGTCACCATCCCTGGAGGGATTTAAAAGACGTGTAGATGTGGCACTTAGGGACAGGGTTTAGTGGTGAGCTTGGCAGTGCTGGGTTAACGGTTGGACTCGATGATCTTAAGGGTCTTTTCAAACCTAAATGATTCTACGATCACAGAATAGCTACAATGTTCACGTGCTTATATTACTCTGTTGTGTAGGATCAGACTCAATGGAAGCAAGGACAGTTGCACTGTTGAAGAGACAGGTAATTGAAATCACACTCATGTGTGAGTGTAGGAGGGAGGAACATAGGATGTAAAAAAACCCTCCCCCAACAAACACCAAAACAAAAGTCACCAGTGGGTTTCTGTCTTTTCCAACCTGAATGCTTCTATGGAATTTCTAGATTGATAGAGCAATTTTATTTAAGTGCATTTTCTATTTAATTCCATGATTTTTCAAGGATAAGATTATGACAACAGCAGCAAGGAGAGATCTTATGAGATAGTAAGTAACAAGCAAAGACAGACACTAATTTTCCTGTTAAGCAATAATGGATATCATAGGAAAGCCGCACTGGTAGTGGCACTGAGGGAAATTATTTCCTGAATCTGCAAAACAGCATTCTGAAATTCCCTTGAAAATTCTAAAACTTGTCAAGAGAGAAGTAGCTCTCAGTCTCAATACATGGTTTGAGAGGAAAAATAATATGTTTTTCCCTCTCTTACAGCACTTGTATCCAGGGAAGACTGAATTGCATTGGAGCACCCAATCTAACTCCAGGTAAAAAATCTTCCACTTATCTTTTTCTCTGTGCCAGGTTTTGGACAGAAATAGTTGATTTAACAGATTGAATAGGGACAGCAATCCCAACTAACTGAAATACACGATTTCCAAAGAATTTCTAGATGGTTTTAACAGTAACAGCTGTGGGATAAACTCTGTGCCATTTCTAACTGCTTTCACTTCTTCCCTTCCTCTAGTCTGTGAATCTCCCATGGTGTACTTTGACTGTAGAAATGTCACTGCAGGAACAACTGGAGCAGAATGTCAAAAAAGTTGCCAGACTCTGGACATGCAGTGTGTAAGTATGTCATGGCTGGATAAGATGGTGCTTCCAGGTTTTGTCTGTGCTCTTGGTGCTAAAGTAATTAATCTGTCTCATCTAACTCAAATCTACCACACAGACACTTTGTTCTTGTAGCAAAAGCCTGAGACCACGTTACGAAGCATTAACAATGGGACCCTTAGACCAAAATATAATAAAGTAACATCCAATTAAATTAATAAGATTAGCGTCTACCTTTCTTCAGCTCTGCCACACATTTTACTTCTTTAGGAGAAAATTACTGGCTAGGAGAAATCGTTCTTTCTCATACTGTGTTGCAACTATAAACTTCTTGCACATCTAATTGTTTTACTCCACCTAGGTACATGGTAGCCACACGTCATTTCATGAATAAGTACTACAAGAGATAAATAAATTTCAATGTAACTCAACCAAACTGAAAAAAAAAAAACAACTTCTTTTCTTTTTAAAACTCCATTCGACCACAAACCACCCACTACAAAGTGCAAGGATTCTTCAGCTCATACAGAGCAAAACTTAAGTTTCCATGTATTTCAGATTTCACAGGCTCCAGCAGAGCAGTCAGGATTGTCGTACATAAAACATTTGTCTTTAATAGATTTATATTCTATTAAATCATGGCTAATAACATCCTTTTGTTCCATTGTCCTATAAGTAGTTTGTAGTCCTCTCCCATTTAAGCTGGGCAGCAGTAAGACCATATAAAGACAACTTATGAGAATTTAATCTTCCTTTTTCTATTGTGATTATTTCATTCTGAAATTGTATCTTCCTCTTGACTTTTCCAGTATAGCACGCAGTGTATATCTGGCTGCGTTTGCCCAGCTGGGCTCATCTTTGATGGGAATGGTGGTTGTATCCCTGAAGAGGAATGTCCGTGTATTCACAATGAAGCCATGTATCAGCCTGGGGAGAAGATCAACGTTGACTGTAACATCTGGTAAACATTTCCTTGGAAGCAGCATTCTGTCTTCCATCATATGCCTTTGCAAAGATCTTCGATAGTACAGCAGTAAGGGAAGATTCGGATTGCATAGTTCAATTGATGGATCTTTTAGTTTTGGATTAAAGAGTATGAGCAAGTTTCCTTCTGATGTAGGCAGATGGCCAAAGCACAGAATGGGAGGAAATTTTTGGGACTACAGTGTTCGTCAGGTATATCCTGTTTTGCAGTTAATGCATTCCGAGTAGCAGAACCGCTTTAATTCTTGACATGAAAAATGTAAAAGACTATTTCAGCTTTAGAATCAACATAATGTTGTCCAGGGATGAGTTGCCAAACAGACACTGAGTTGTTGGGATATGTCTACACAAAACAGTGTGTTGTTTTAGTATTAAAATGCTTTATTCTCATTCCTAGTGTATGCAAGAACAGGAAGTGGGAATGCACTGAAGATCAATGTCTGGGCACTTGTACTGTTTATGGAGATGGTCATTATAATACCTTTGATGACAAAAGGTTCAGCTTCAATGGAAACTGTGAATACACACTAGTCCAGGTACTGATAACAAGCAATAGTAAATGAGACGTAACCTTGATCGTGTCTACAAAACCAATATATTTTTAAATGTTATTTTCTACCCAGGACCACTGTGGGAAGAGTGGCACAGCCAATGGGACCTTCAGGGTTATCACTGAAAATATTCCCTGTGGCAACACTGGGACAACTTGCTCAAAATCTATCAAAGTTTTCTTAGAGGTGAGAAGGTTTTGCACATAAATTGTTTTTGTTCTGTACCTGTTTAGGGCTTAGGAGAAGCCTAGGTATCCATTGCTTCAAGGAAGTTGGAAAATATTTAAAAAAGAAAATCAACTTGTAAATAAAGCTTAAATCAGATTCAGGTGAAATATTTGGTAGAGCTTCCCATCTTTCTATCTTTTCCATTTCCCACCCTATCTCATACTGCTCTTGGACAAACTACAGATATACAGGAAAATTGTCTTTACCAGAAATTCAGCCTATCATGTCAGAAGCTCATTTTATTCTGTACAATGTAGTTTTCCATGACTGCCAAACCATTTAAAATACCTTTTTACCACAGTTCCAGGAACCTGAGATTTGAACTATATAGTTATGCCTCAGCACATTTGGATTGTTTTCATTACATAAAATACTCATAGTACTCTCAAAAGCAGAAAAACATGTTCAAGAGCACAGCTGCAGCTGTTGAGTTAATTTCAAATCACCTTTTCCTCCTGTTTCAGAGCTATGAGCTGATACTTGGTGGGGAGCACATCAGTGTTGTGAAGAGAGGACAAACCGAGGAGGTGCCTTACACAGTCCGCTACATGGGTATGTACCTGGTAGTCGAGACCACAAGCGGACTGATCCTCATGTGGGACAAGAAAACCAGCATCTTCATCAAACTCAGCCCTGGTTTTAAGGTGCGGAACTAACATTTAAACGATAATTTACAGTCCAGATTTGGACTGGGTGTGAATTTTGTTAAGACCCTGCCAAGATCCCAAACGGGTGATGTCT